TACTACTACTAACTACTACTACTACTACTACTACTACTACGACTTACTACTTACTACTTACTACTACTACTACTACTACTACTGCTACTACTACTACTACTAACAACTACTACTTCTACTACTACTACTACTACTACTACTACTACTACTACTACTACTACTACTACTACTACTACTACTACTACTACGACTACTACTACTACAACTAATACTACTACTACTACTACTACTACTACTACTACTACTACTACTACTACTACTACTACTACTACGAACTACTAACTACTACTACCATTACTACTACTACTACTACTACTACTACTACTACTACTACTACTACTACTACTACTACTACTACTACTACTACTACTACTACTACAAACTACTACTACTACTACTACTACTACTACTACTACTACTACTACTACTACTACTACTACTACTACTACTACTACTACGACTACAACGACAACTACTACTACTACTACTACTACTACTACTACTACTACTACTACTACTACTACTACTACTACTACTACTACTACTACCTACTACTACTACTACTACTACTACTACCACTACCTACTACTACTACTACTACTACTACTACTACCCACTACTACTACTACTACTACTACTACTACTACACTACTAATACTACTACTACTACTACGACTACTACTACTACTACTACCACTACCACTACAGCTACTACTACTACGACTACTACTACTACTACTACTACTACTACTACTACTACGATTACGATTACTACGATTACTGTTCCTATTACTGGTACTATCAATACGGCTCCTACTACTACTACTACTGCTACTACTAGTGCTACTAGTACTACTGCTACTACTACTACTACTACTACTACTACCACTACTACTACTACTACTACTACTACTACTACTACTACGGCTACTACTTCTACTACTAAAACTACTACTACTACTACTACTACTACGATTACTCTCTACTACCAACGACTATACACTACTACCCTACTACTAAAAAAACTACGCTACAATACACTACGACTACTACTACTATACTACTGACGACTCTACGACTACACTACGCAACTATACTACTCCTATTCTCCCTACTACTCCTACTACTACTACTACTACTACTACTACTACTACGACTACTACTACTACTACTACTACTACTACTACTACTACTACTACTACTACTACTACTACTACTACTACTACTACTACTACTACTACTACTACTACTACTACTACTACTACTACTACTACTACTACTACTACTACTACTACTACGATCCAGTAAAAGACGCGCGAGATCCCAACCGCAATAGCTCACGCGTGAATCTGCTCCTGCAAGGTGTCCATTGCCATTTCAGTTTGCAATAAACAAGTAAGATAACACTTCCATCTGTGTCCTTAATTGGCTGTCTCCTCGGTTGTAATATGACCGTGCCTGGTGCTTTGGACGGTTGTGATCTGAACCGTCCGGTTGCGATCTCACGCGACCGGTTTTGATCTGAACCCATCGCGAGACGGCCCAAGAGCCCCCAAAGATCGCCCAAAGATCGCCCAAGATGCCTCCAAGATGGCCCCATGACGGCCCAAGAGGCCCCCAAGACGGCCCCAAGAGGCCCCCAAGACGGCCCAGGAGGCATTTTACGACACCCAAGATGGCCTCCAAGCCGGCCCTGGAGCATTTCAAGAGGGCCCCAAGTCGGCTCAGAGAGGGCCCTCAAACGGCTTCCGACGGCGTCGGACGGGCCAAGGGCCCACCAAGACGGCCGAAGATGGCTCGAACCTGGCCCAAGACAGCCCAAGAGGCCTCCAAGAGGGCCCCCAGGAAGGCCCGAAAAGGGCAAAATCATTGATTTCCCATGAGTTTTTTAAAGGATTATGTCATGGGCTTTTTGTCGGCATTCCGACGGCCCGAGACGGCCCAAGTGCCCCCAAAGATCGCCCAAGAGGCCCAAGACGGCCCCAAAAGGCCCCCAAGACGACCCAAGAGGCCTCCAAGACGCTCAAGAGGCCTCCAAGACGGCCCAAGAGCCCTCCAAGACGTCCTCGAAGAAGGCCCGAAAGGGTCAAAATGGCCTCCAGGCGGCCAAGATGACCTTCAAGATGCCCACGTGTTCCCCGAAGCCTTTCCAAACCGACTCGGGGAACACATGGTCCGACAGCTTGGCAGGTCTGGCCTCAACGTTCGGCCACATAGGCGCTTCCAGAAAGGCAGGGGGCGGCGGTGATTCGCCGTAGGCGTCTTCGATTATCACTCGTCGGGTGTTTTGACAGATGCCCTCCGTCTGTATACACGGGTTCTCGCGAAGACTGGGAATGTCAGCCCAAGAGGCCCCGAAAAGGTACCCATGAAAGCCCAAAAGAGCTCCAAGAAGCCCCCAAAAAGGCCAATAAGAAACCGCCAATTCCCCAAGGGGTCGGCGGTGTGGCGTAAGCCCAAGAATCAGTGAAGGCCTCGGTGTTACACTACGTGTTTCTCTGTCTATTCTGCCCACTCGCATTGGACGCCCGAAATGGGTACGGAAAAAATGGGTACGATGCCCAACAGCAAATGTTGTTCAAGACCGACAGCGGCAGCTGTTGGGCAGGCGGCCTTCTGTCTCAAATGGACAACGCCCGCGGTGTCACGGACAGCGAACCATGCTTCAAATACAAAAAAAATGCTGTCAGTCTGATGCCCATTCTTTCCGTACCCACTTCGATCGCCCCGACTCGTCGTCTGGGCATCGTATTTGGACGGGCTAGTGGGGACACGCGAAGCGCCCACCGCAGCCATCACCGCGCTGCGACTGTGCCCTTCAACTGCTCGCGCTCGGCAGGGCTGAGCCACACCAGCTCGTCCTCCCGGAAATCGAACAGCTGGTCCTGCAGCTGCTGCCTGTGAGCAACCCCGGCCGCTCCCCGTTCCCAGGCGTCAATTTCCCGTGCCGACGCCCTGGCCCACCACCCTCTTGCCTCCATTAGAGGCCTCCCAGATGGGATCGGAGTAAATGGGGTCGAAAGATCGCACCGCATCGCGGACGCATCGCCGATGCACACGTCGACGATGCGACATCGGCGGTGCATCGGCGACGCCGGCTTAGAGAAAATTGCGCTCCACATCGAGCCGCATCGCCGATGCATCTGCGATGCGGCGCGATCCTTCGACCTCACCTACTCCGACCCCATCCGGGAGGCCTAGATCAACTCTCCCTCTTTGTCCCTCCACCCTCCTGCCTCATACCTCCTCCCTCCGCCGTTCTCCCTCCCCGTGTTCCCTGCTCCTCGCATTTGTCCTCACACCCCCCTTTCTCCCTCGCCGCCTCCTCCTCCTCCTCCCCTCCTCCTCCTCCTCCTCCTCCTCCGCCTCCTCCGCCCTCCTCCGCCTCCTCCTCCTCCTCCTCTCCTCCTCCTCCTCCTCCTCCTCCTCCTCCTCCCCCTCTTCCTCCTCCTCTGCTCCTCCTCCTTCTCCTCCTCCTACTCCTCCTCCTCCTCCTCCTCCTCCTCCTCCTCCTCCTCCTCATCCTAGCCCCTTTCCCTCGAGAGATTGAGGAGAGGGTCGGCGGGCGCACTTGAAAGTGGCTCTAGCCCGTCGGAGCCATGAAGGCGGCATGAGGCTCCTGCTGCCGTACCGCTTGCTCGCCGAGCGCAATATCGGCAGTGTGCTGGGGGCCTTCGAGAAGTAGTACTTGCGGGAACACCCCGTCGGCGTGCTCGAGGTGCAGGTGCTCGACGTAGATGTTGGGAGGCGGCGGGTTCGCAGCCCAGCCTGGAGTACCAGCGGGGCCACCGCTGAAGTCGCCGCCCAGGCGAGCGAAGGCGGGGGATCAGTGGCTGCCGAAGCCCCCACCACCGCTGCAGTCCAAGAAGATCCCGTGGCGACGTGCGGAGTCGTCCGTGCAGGCTGTGGGAACGGCGAAAGTCGTCAAGAAGAAGAACAAGCAGAAGAAGGAGGCCGCTCGGGTCGAGCTGCAGCCAAGACGAACCCCTTCGTGAACCCCCAGGGCCACATCGACAGGCCTCGGGAGTGGAAGCTGAGGGGCTGCAAGATCCCCAAGTGGAGGTGCGAGGACTGCGCCAAGAGGCTGAAGAAGGTAGTGAACTTCGGCTTCGGAGTGCAGTGCCCTTTCTGCCGCATGCCGCCGCCGTCGCCCGTCCTGAAGCAGCAGGAGGTAGCCATGCGCAAAATCGGCAAGAAGGACTTCGAGCGCCAGGGGGCCTGCAGAAGGCAGCTGGCGGCGGCCACCAGTGCGAGTTCTTCGACTTGTCCAGCGAGGACGATCCTGAGAGCTCGGAAGGCCAAGTTCCTCAACAAGTTCAAGAAGAGCCTCCACAAGAAGCAGGCCAAGGTGGTGAAGCCCAGTGTGCAGGCGGCGGTGGAGAAGCCCACGCTGGAGGGCATCAACGCGATGGTCAGCAAGGCGAAGGAGACCAAGGTCATCTTGTTGGAGTTGATCGAGTCGCTTCAGCCTGCCCGCCAGAAGGGCTCAGTGGAGGCGCAGAGCAGGGTGCAGGCCCTCAATCAGAATGCCGAGAAGGATATCGCCAGCGCGGAGGCGGATTTGGAGCGTCTCGAGCGATTCCAGGCGATCCGCAGGTGAACCTCGCGTGCGACGGCAACCACGACTTCTCGGACGGGAGTCGGAAGGACCGTGAGCCGTATCTCACGGGAAAGGAGCAGTAGCTGCCAGCCGTTCCCTCCTTCCCGCTCCTTGCTGCGGCGGGGGACGACTCGCTGGTAGCCTCGCGCGCTGACTTTCACGAGTGCCGGCGCCTCATGGACAAGTACGACGCATTCCTGCACAAGCTCGAGCTCGCCCAAGCGCACTGAGGGCTAGGGCGGGCTGTGTTTTTCTGGACCCGCGGGTTTGCCCGAGCCCTGTCTGGAAAATCAGTTCTTAGAGACGGAGCTCCAGAGACAATATTTTCGAACAATCTGCCCCGCTCGTTTTTGGGCGTTCACGGCCCGACTGCGGGGTGCTGATCTGGCTTCGGTTGGCG